TACATGAAATAAATGACTGCAAAACTGTTTAAATAAAAGACAGTTATAGAAGTAAAAATCAGGATGATAAAATAGAAAAGTTTAGTGTAATGGTAAAAATTGAGTAGAATGACACAAGATTTAAGCTTTTACAGCTAAGAAATTCAGGGTTGGATTTTGTACTGATGCTAGGTTTACCGAAGAATGCCAGAGTGTTGGATTGAACAGTAAATGAGCTGTGGCATGGTTGTAGAAATAGAAGGTAGCACAGGTTAAGGAAGAGACCAAAGCATGAGCCTCTTTATACTGGCTACCTTCTAGGGAGGCGGCTTTCCTAACAGACCACCTCCTAAATGACAGGTCTGTTCACTGATGCCCTCAGAAGTCCTGCTTGCAGCCTCCTGATGATGCCCTCAGCGTGCTGAATGCTTCCTCCTCAGGGTGCCTGTGCATGCCTGCTGCTGGTGCAGAAAGTGTACGGGTATCAGGGTTCATTGGCTTGTTTGTGCTGTCAGGCCTTTTCATACTGGCTTATACTTCTTATTTAATTAGACAATTGAAATAGTTATTAAATCAGTCACGGAAAAAGTTAAGTTTCTGGAAAAACTTAAAAGTTTCCTGTGAAAACCCAAGTTGAATGCTTTGTAAAGATTGATAAAAGGTAATTACTAAAAATAAATACTGCTTGGTATTTGGTCATCTAAATTTTTAGTAAATGATAGACATTCTGTTTGGGGTTTGGGGTTTTATTGTGTTTTGGGGTTTTTTTGGTGTGTGTGTGTACTGAAATCCCTGTAGTGCAACCTTAGGAGGCATCATTCACATATGTCAGTCAAAATGGCTATCATTAATAATCTACAAATAATAAATGCTGGAGAGGATGTGAGAAAAAGGAACCTTCCTACACTGTTGGTGGGAATGTAAATTGGTGCAGCCACTATGAAGAAAAGTAGGAAGATTCCTTTTAAAAACTAAAAATAGGGTTACCATATAATCCTGCAATCCCATTCCTGGGCATATATCTGAAAACTTTAACTCAAAAAGATACATGCACCTCAATATTCATATCAGCACTGTTCACAATAGCCAGGACATGGAAGCAACCTAAGAATCCAAGACAGATGAATAGATAAGATGTGACATATATATACGCACAATGGAATATTACTCAGCCATAGAAGAGTGAAATAACGCCATTTGCAGCAACATTGATGGGCCTAGATAATATCATATTTAAGTCAAATAAGTCAGAGAAAGACAAATATGATATCACTTATATGTGGAAACTGAAATTCTGTAGATGAACTTGTTTACAAAACAGAGATAGACTCACAGACATAGAAAACAGACTGATTACTAAGGGAGATGGTAAGGAAGAGATAAGTTGGAAATTTGGGGTTAACATAAACACACTACTACTATATAAAGCAGATTACAACAGGGATCTACTGTAATACAGGGAACTATATTCAATATCTTTTAATAGCCTTTAATGGAAAAGAATCTGAAAATATGTTTCTGAATCACTTTGCTATACATCTGAATCACTATAAATCAAGTATACTTTAATAAAAGTATTTATTTTAAAAAAAGAGTATTCATTGACCTCTTCCAGTGGAAACAATTGTTATCTTACTAGTCGACTCCTAAACTATGTCTTGGTGGTGGTTTGGTTGAGAAGTTGTGTCCAAGTCTTTGGGAAACCATGGACTGCAGCCTGCCAGGCTCCTCTGTCCATGGGATTTCCCAGGCATGAATACTGGAGTGAGTTGCCATTTCCTTCTCCAGGGGAATCTTCTCAGCTCAGGAAGCAAACTGGGTCTCCTTCACTGCAGGCAGATTCGTTACCGACTGAGCCACCAGGGAAGCCGAGCTCGGTCCTAAAAGGAAAGCAGTTTGTAATTGACTTGGTTCATGCTGCAGTGTGAATAGCAATCCCACAACCTCCCAGAAATGGCTCTTCTCTTTAAAAAGGATATTCCTTTTAGGTTAAGTTTTAATCAGTTCAGACAGAGGACCAAGTGAGCATTTGAAGTGGAAGTTGCTCAGTCGTGTCTGACTCTTTGTGACCCCATGGACTATACAGTCCATGGAATTCTCCGGGCCAGAATACTGGAGTGGGTAGCCTTTCCCTTCTCCAGGGAATCTTCCCAACCCAGGGAACGAACACAGGTCTCCCACATTGCAGGCGGATTCTTTACCAGCTGAGCCACAAGGAACATTTGAGTCTTTGTGGAAAAAGCTCTCTGTCTTTCCCCTCTTTCAGATCTAAGTATTCCATGGTTAGGGGACTCTAATGGGGAAATGGTGGCCATCCCTCCCGCAATCCATCTATGAAAGGCCTGGACAACCTTCTCATATTTAAGCCTTCCATCTGGAATGCACAAAGTACCTGGATCAAGAGTGACAGGGAGTTTTCTTCACCCTTGCTACTGTGACAGTCAGTAGCCCGGACGAGGTGAGGCTTCATGCCACCCTGGACATGCCTCTCATGCTGCCCTCCCCCCTCACCCTGGGGTGAGAATGGTGAGCTCATTCATCGTGGCCGGTGTGAGTTGGTGAGCGGCAGGCCTGCTGTGCAGAGACACCCTGTGGGGCTCCCCTGACCTGAGGGAGAGGACGGTGATTATACCGCCCTGCAAGGTATCTTCCAGTAAACACTCCTTCACTGCCCGCAGCTATAGGTCATCCTTAGCTGATGGATGAAAGACCTAGTTGGCATGGGAAAGATGGTTGAGTGGTATTTACCACATGCGGTAGAAGAAGGTGGATTGTGAGTTGCAGAGAGATTCTGTGATAAATGCAGGCAGTAAATGTGAAATTTTATGAAGGCAGAAGAAGGAAAAAAACATTTTTTGACTGACATCCACTATGTTTCAATCACATTCATTGCTACTTCTCATATTTTCCTGCCAAGTAGAAGTTGTGTAGTCCAATACATTCTACCTTAAAAATTCACTTGTTTCCTTTTCTGTTCCATAATATATTGTTGATTGTGTTAATACAAAGCATTGTGAATTATTATTGAACAAGATCGATGTTCTTAGAAGATACACCATGTTTGCCCTGTGTCTTCATGTCTTCTCTGGCACAGCAACCTCATGCTCTAGTGCGGGGTCTAGTCTGAGAGGCACGAGCGCATTCGTCCTCACAGCAGCCTCGTGGGAAAGGTGGCATTTTACAGATGAGAGAAGGAAGGTTCAGAGAGGGAATGTCTCACAGGTACTGCATGTCAGTGCTAAATTTCTCCCCCACACTCCCTCTCTTACAGATTTTGTGGTTCTATAAAACAGAAAAACTAGCAATATAAATAGAGTGCTGATCTAAAAGTTAAGAAGCCTTTTTGGTTCTGTTCTCGCAAAGTTGTTGACTTGCAGGGAAATATTTTGACCATTCCTTAGAGAATTCTAATATTTCATTTCCTCATATGCATATTGTTTCATTTCATCCTTAATGTTAGGGAAAGGTATATACGTATTTTAAGAGTCAGACACTTGGCATGCTTGAAGATAAGTTCTTAATAAAAGCAATTATTAATGAAATAATACCATTAAGAACTCTCAAGTCTGGTGCACTCTTCTGTGTGTCCACACACACTTGACTTTTAAACACAAAGTCATTGTCACCAATTATTGGTTTCCTTACTATGCTGAAAAGAAACTGCTTTAGTCTGCTGCTTGATTCAAGCCCTCCATGTCTACCAGTTCCCTAAATGTATGATTTGTACATAGGTATTATAGTGGCCAGCTGCTCAAGTTTTAATGTCAGCAAAATACGGTTTTAAATCCTGACTCCAAATCATTCGTGTGACACTAGGTAAAATACTTCAGCTCTCAAGCTGTGCCTCAGTTTCCTTACTTTAAAAAAGGAGTAGCAATGCCTGTTTCATGGGTTTTTAGAAATCTCTCAAACTGTCTAATGATTACATTAGAATGTTGTTATGTGGTAATGCCTAAAAAATTTGGTGTTGATGTTTTACCTTGTAAATTCATTTTAATTGAATAAATGTATTTTTGTAGGTATTTTAAGTTTATGGATTCATATCCATTAAGTGAAATTTACTTGAAAATACTAAGTAATTCCACAATTTAATGACCCATTTTTTTTATGATTGATATTGTAAATAACAAGTTGTCATACACTTTAGATTGATTTTGATGGGGGAAGGATATTTTGTGATATGTGGCATTCAATTAATCTATTTGGTTAATTTGGTAGTATAAAAGAATTTGCAGCTAATGAGTTTTCATACTCTTGAAGATAATTTTATAGATGCTGCATTGCTTCCAGATATTTGTTGGTTCCTCATTTTAAAGGAGGACTTTCCCCTGACAGTGTATGTTAATATTTGGAAAATTCTCTATCAGTAGGCTAGCACCATCTTGACAGCCCTGTGTTCTGCTTCTACCTTGCTAATTGTTTCCTTGGGATTATTTGGATTGTGTCAAAAGCTTTTTGCAAATCCTCTTATTACTGAAGTCATTGTTGCCAGCAGGAATAAGATTAAAGGTGCTTAAGTCTGTAGAGTTGTTTCTAATTTGTACGTGTCATTTCAGTGGCATTTTAACAGAACACAGTCTCCTGTCCCTCCCCTCTCCCTCAGTACTATCTTAAGTTAGGTCCAAGAAGCCAGGCCATTGGAAGAAATCTCATTTTATCCTCCTAATTATTATGCTGGCACTCAGGAGATAATTTTTCCCTTCATGCACTGCCAATTAATATGCAAATAGACTGATAAATATTTATGCAATGATTTAAATTATGCAGGGGGTGCTTTCAGTGTATTCTGTAAATGAATTGTTCATGGACTTCAAAGTGCTGGCTGCTGTGCTAACGAGGAGAGATTTGCATAAGGCCCTAATCACGCGCATACTGATTAAGCTTCATTATGGAAACTGCCAGCTGCAATCTTTGTTTCTATTTTATTACAAAAAGGGGAACTTTTCATGCTTCAGTTGCCTTGACAATGTCAGTCCTAGCTGGTAAGAGAGACTAAAACTACTCTGAGCAACTGAAGTTTCCTTATTCAGTTGAAGATTGCTATGGTGTAACTGAAGTTGTATTTTGCTTCTCCCCCTAATCCACTTTCCACCTCCCACCCTTGTTCTCTAAAGAATATAGTGTAGATTTGTTAGAAATAGTAGTACCTTCTTTCTCCCACGCCAAACCGCTACCTGTTTCTTCCTTGCTTTGGACTGTCTGAACCTCTAGAAGATTTCACAGCAATGCTGGACTGCAGTGACTATGTCCTAGGTGGGTACCAGCACAGTTCTTTCTTATAAGCTTTAATATGGAAATAGTGTGTGTAGGGTTGACTATGCATAAATACTTAATCGCATATGCAACCAACTTGTGGGAGGGGGGAGAAGTGGACTGAGCTGGGAAGGAGGAGAGCATTTGCAAAGCATAAGCCTGCTTGAGTTTACAGTAAGTTCCTCCCTACCACTAGCTCTTCTGGTTCAGAGGATATTTTCAGTAAATAGTGTGGATTTAGAGCTCTGCTTGAATGGAGGACATTTTTGCTTTTTGGGAATTTCTGTTGAGAGCATTTCATATTGTTCTAAAAAAACAGTCTAAATCTGAAACAAGATATAAAGTGTACCTCGATAATATGTACATATTAGTAAAAATGTTTTGCATACTGAATATGAATGTCTTATCTAAAAACCAAAAATGCCTGGTGAAAAATAAGATGGAGCCATAGTACATAGTTGTTCCCATAAATCCTTAATGCAGAAGGAAGTTGGAATGGTTAACTGCAGTAGGACTGTTGATCAATTTCCAGATTTTAGAAACTGTTAACTATTTTCAAATTTTAATTAATACTAGCCTTTTTTATTTTTAAAAATCAACTTCTGTTCTTTAGGAAACAATTTTTAAGTGCTGGAAAGCACATTTTTAGAGTTTTTTCCTAAAAAACAGTAAGATTTGGGGAGAGAAATGTGTGGCTTGAATATATAAACTGTCTTTGGTTAAGGTTTAAAATAGATTGAGGCACTTTGGTTTTTAGATGTACTGTGACTATAGTAACCATATTTTGTGCTGAGTTTTTTCTATTTATATGAAGAATTATTGAGTCCTCTTTGGGTTACTCTGGTCATATCTCCAAGTGATGTTATGAACCCCAGATTATTTTTTTTCCTGTATGTAATCTTTCCCACTTGAAAAGTGGAGGCTGTCCCCAACACCGTTGCAATTGCTCATAATAAAATGACAGATCTGAAAATGTTTGAATTTTTAGGCAGAAGGCATGGTCTAAACCCAAGATAGTAGTGATACTTACACAGCATGATAGAAACCACTATGAAAAGGGTGAATGGCTACAGTGACAAACCAATGTCAAGAATTGAGTCCGAGAGCAACCTGCAGACTTGTGTTTTAGACTCATAGTCAGTTTAGTGTGCCTAGAGAGAAAAAAACCTTCAAACATAAATAAAACTTACATGTATTTACTCTTTTACATCTACTAAGTTGGGAACTCAAGAAAGGAAAGTGCCTTTTTGAAATATTTTTGGCAATATATTTTAGAATTAGAAATTATTATTTCAGTTCACAGTTAATATCATTTAAACATTTTTCCATTCCATTCCAATGTACAACATTCATAGTTGTATAGTTAGTCAGAATTTGGTTTTATTTATTTTTGTGTATGTGTGTTAAACTCTTGAGAGTTTAATAGAAAATGCATAGAAGATTCACATGGAACATCTGTGACATAATTTTTAATTTATACATGTGGAAACCAAGATATGAATTATACAAGATCATGACTTGTTAAGAACTATGCCTGCATCTTTGTTTTTATGGTTTGTGGGGAAAAATTGTTAGCCTTCTGATGAACGTTAACTAGTTCGTCATTTTTTCCCGTTTTGTTTTAACATACATTATAAAGGAAGCACTGAGCAGCATGTATGCTTTATTAGTATATTCTATTACATTTATTGTGACTTTTCTTGACGTTCATAAGATTTCGGTTAAGTCATTCAGAAAGCTGATATTTACAGCTTGTTATTGTACACCTGTTGCTTTCAAAACTTCGTATGCTTTCAGATGATATTTAAATTTTTCTGAATGGGTCTGGGACGGAAGTTATAGAACTGTCTTCATTTATGACTGCAGACTTAACAAATTTGAACTCTGAACATGTGAAGAACAGAACAAAGATATGTTAGAACTGCTTAAGCCCATAAGGCAAGCGTTTGTTTCAAAACTGCATTAGAAAAGCCACTGCATAGCTCCCAGATTGGAGATGACATTTATGGGAGGGATCCTGACTCTCTCTTAGCAGTTATGCCTGTGGGTAAAAGAACCAAGGGCAGCATGTTGGGGATTACTACGATTATTTTGATTTTCTAGTTAAACATTTAAGCAGATGACAAAATGGGCTCGAGTCAAAATCTGAATAAATATAGTTTAAGTATTATTCTCTACTAATGATTATAGTTAGATGGTTCTTAACCTGATGAGCAGAAAAGTTAGGACTTGCTTGGTAGTAAACTTTTTTGATTATAAATATGCTAAGTTTCAGCTCACAAGAGAAATAGAGTAAGATATATAATATATAAAAGTATAGTTTAGAGGTAGGAATAAAGTGCACTTGTTCTTGTTTTCCCTCTTGCATATCTTCTAAGATGCTTAATATTGCTTGATGAAAATTTATTACTATGAAAGTGTCCATTTAGGATATCAAGGCAGTATCATTTTTAAGTGAGTGTGATTGTGACTTAATTTTGCAATTATTAGATGTATCTGTTATGCCTTGTAATGCAGCTTCTTGTACTAGTTTATAACTGTATGATTTTGGTATATTTTCACTTTGATGCATGTTTAGTTTCTTTTGGGGGGCATGGAGAGTAAATATGGAGTTATTTTTCTTAGACATGTGTTTTCTTTTTATTCTGTTGAGTTATTGTCCAGTCTGTTATCAAGATTACCAGTAGCTTATTTAGGTTATAATTAATGAATATCTTTACTTATGAAAAAAGAAACTTTTGGGGAATAACATATTTTGCTTTGTGAGGTATTTTGCTTCTCCCCCTCCCACCCCAATTTTGTTTCTGTAATGTACTCTATGCTTCATATTATAAATCATTTTCCTCTTTTTTATATTATACTCTCATAATTTTTCAGGTTAGATTTCTGTTGTCTCTGTTGGAAGAATCTTAAATTTCTTTAAAAGATGATTTATTTGTGGATCATTTCAGAGTTAAGGAAATATTAAATTTCTTTCAGATGAAATTGTATTATAATTTCCAGTGTTTTAGTGTTGACACCATCTCTCCTTGAACTTTAGGGCTGTGACATTAGTCAGTATTCTTAACCTTTTTGTTTGCCACAATTTTTGCCTACCCAAACACATCCTCAAGCCCAGGTTGGGTACATGAGACAAGTGCTCGGGCCTGGTGCACTGGGAAGACCCAGAGGGATCGGGTGGAGAGGGAGGTGGGAGGGGGGACTGGGATGGGGAATACATGTAAATCCATGGCTAATTCATTTCAATGTATAACAAAAACTACTGAAAAAAAAAAAATCTCTAATTTATTACAGAGTCAAGAATGAACAATCCGTCAGAAACCAGTAAACCGTCTATGGAGAGTGGAGATAGCAACACAGGTAAGAGATGGTCCTCAGATCCAGCCTTTTAATTAAATGTAATAGTGCTAAAAGAAGAAACTTCCTATTTAACTCGTTTTTAGTGAATAAAAACCAATGTGAGTATTGAGCTGTCAAATAAAGTTAGTATTTGCAGGAACTGGGATTGTATTTACTTAAGATTATATGACTTCTGCAGATTGTTTACTCTTTTCCTGCTATATATCAGAGAGACTGTAGAGGAGCTGAGAGAATAATCTTGTGGGTCAGTCAGTTCTGAGTATGAATTATTAGTCTAGCTTTGTGACTTTAGGCAGTTTCCCCAATCTTTTTGAGACTTAATTTGTTCACCTATAAAATGGGAATAATAAATTTCACAGGTCACTGTGAGTATTACAGGAAATGTATTAAACATTCTGGCAGCTATACAGTAGCCTTTCAGTAAAATGTTGTTCCTGTCATGGGTATTAATCAAGATAGGAAATCTTATCCACATTTAGTATAAATTGTACTGAAGTAATACTGTTAATATAAGTAGATAAAAACATATCTGTTCTTAATACATCCTTTTAATAGGTAATTTTTTAGAAAAAATTATACTTGATTAAACCCTTTATCAGGCGATAATTAATACCATAAAATGAGGAAACTGAGACCCCCCCTTGGGAGGAGGTGAGACTGTAAAGGATAGATTGTCCCCACAACCCATACTCTTTTTTTTTTTTTCATTTATTTTTATTAGTTGGAGGCTAATTATTTTACAATATTGTAGTGGTTTTTGCCATACATTGACATGAATCAGCCATGGATTTACATGTATTCCCCATCCCGATCCCCCCTCCCGCCTCCCTCCCCATCCTATCCCTCTGGGTCTTCCCAGTGCACCAGCCCTGAGCACTTGTCTCATGCATCCAACCTGACAGCCCATACTCCTGATATCTGACTGTGTATCTTTGTCTGCCAGAGATGGTGCAGGGACTTCTACTAAAGGCATAAACTACAAATATACAACCATTTAAGAAGGGATACCCAGAAAGTAATAGTTTCACTAGGTTTTTTACTAGCAGAGAGGGTTGCCTCTTTGACTTGTCATTTTTTAAATGCCTAACTATTAAAAAAAAAAGTCTAATTATGGGAGAGAGCAGGACTTCCCAGGTGGCACTGGTGGTTAAGAAGTGATGTGAAGTCGCTCAGTCGTGTCTGACTCTTTGCGACCCCATGGGCTGCAGCCTGCCAGGCTTCTTCATTCATTGGATTTTCCAGGCAAGAGTACTGGAGTGGATTGCCGTTTCCTTCTCCAGGGGATCTTCCTGACCCAGGGATTGAACTGGGGTCTCCCGCGTTACGGGCAGATCCCTTAACGTCTGAGCACCGGGGAAGTCCACTGCCTGCCATTGTAGGAGACTCGGGTTCGGTCCCTGGATCAGGAAGGTCCCCTGGAGGAGTGCATGGCAGCCCACTCCAGCGCTTTTCCCTGGAGAGTCCCGTGGGCAGAGAAGCTGGCGGGCTGTGGTCCAGAGGGTCGCAGAGAGTCGGACGTGACTGAAGCAGCGTAGCGCACACCCACACGTGGGACACAGTAAACACGAGTCCCTCTTGGAAACTGTCTTTGTTTTCCACCCCTCATAGCTACAGCGCCTTTTAATTTGAAGTAGACGAGTTGAACCAGTATAGGAGCTTTCTGCCCATATTTCTTTCATTTAAAATTTTTCTGTACCTGGAGATACTTGTTAATCTTTTAATCTTTAAAACATACCTGCTTCTTTATATGAAACTGAGCAGTGAGGTTTCCTGTTGTATTTAATATGTCTCTCAAGTTACTCTGAGGCTAACCATTATAGACTGTGGTAAATATATCCTGAGAAGGGAAGGGCAGCATTCTGCTCTGTCTGAAGTGTCAACCAGTTTCCTTTATATCTCCATCTTCCTTTTTTTTTTTTTGGTAGCTGCAGTCCCTCTGCCAGTATTTGGCCACCTAACTTAGGTGTGGGACTTGTTTGCAGAGAGAAATAAGGCAGTTGATACCATTAAGATGCTAGAAGAGAATGAGCAGGACACCTATGCCTAAAGAACAGGTTCAAAGATGAGTCGTGTATTTCTTAAAGAAGGGAAACAGACCCAGAATGATTGGATAACACTGCGAATGTTCACTGTATCGGATTCCTTGGGAATCCATCATTATAGTAGAAGTTTCAGTAGCTACCATTTATTGAGTATCACATTTAATAAAACCCTGTTGACATGTTTTTAAAAATCTTAAGCACTATATGCATTATCTGGTTTTAACTTGAGTTCTTATGAGAGCCCTGCAAGTTAGGTATTATTTCAAGGAATAGAAAATTGAGACACAAAGCCAGCCAGGAAATAAAGGCAGGATCAGAATTTATACCCAACATATGGTTCATGCCCTGCGTATGGTTCCTCCTATGACTGTAATAAAATAAAACTGAAAATTTAAGCAACACTTTGTGTATCTATTTCAGGTCTAAAACCATTTATAGAGGTGTGTAAGATAAATTATAGCTGAAACACTTGCTGAAACAGTCTCATGAATTTCTTGCCCTGTTTTAAGATGGAGTGCTTGGTAGACTCATCCTACCATAGAGCTGAGCGGTATGAAGTTAGATATTTTACTTCTTAATGTCTCTAAAACTGATTTTGTGGGTGGTACTCTCTTAGACTTTTTTTTTAATTTCCATCACCAGCAATAATGGTTGATTTTACAAAATAGGGGAAATTTGTTTTCCTTTTTCTCAAGAATTACTGCTAATGCAATAATAGTAGAAGTTGGATCAAACGTGAGATCATCTTAACTCTGAAGCGTGATACTCACACTTTCTATGTGTTGACTGAAGCATTTGTTGCCTTTATAAAATTACAAATTACTTCCATGATATAGGCTTTTATATTCACTTGAGGATAACCTTGAATGTCAGTTTCTTAAATGGTAAAGGTCTGTCACTGTGTTGTTAGCGTCGCCCACTGATGCCAGGTGGTCAGCTCAGGAACATAAAAGCACATTTGGGCTCCAGTTTGTGTAGTGAGTCACCATGTCTGGTGCCTTGAGTGTAAGATTACGTTTATTTGTACTTCACTGCTGGTCCACTGGGTGAGACTGCATGCTTCAGCTGTAGGGCATGTGGGTTCAATCCCTGGTTGGGAACCAAGATCCTACATGCTGTGTGGCACAGCCAAAAAATAAAAAATTATAAAATTATAGTTTATTCAAATAATTACATGTTTATAACTTGATTTTTATTTAAAAGTATAACAAACAAGCCTGGAGATTAATTGTAAAGAATATATGAGTTCTTGGATTTTGTTAGTTTATGAATAACAAGTAAAATTTTCAGTAGAAAAGAACTCAGCATTATAATAAAACTGAAGTTTCACATTTTCTGGATTCAGAATACTTTTGTGTAGATTACTACAATTTTAAACATTTCAGGAAAAAAAATAATTTTTTATTTGTGACATTTTAAAAGAATGTATTCTAAGAGTATTTAAGATTATGTTGAGATGGTACTTCTTTGCCTTTCTCCAGCCAGAGTGATTTATTTAGATTGAGCAGCTAAGTCTGACAATGCGCTTTTGTCAAATAGCCCTTACATGTTCACAGAAAATGTGTTGTTTAGGTTTATTAATTTATTATTAAGTATGTGCCTATGCTATATGTATAATCATAATATTATTATATTTGGTGTTATTAAAAGATGTTAGTACAAATAAATGAGACTCCGTCAGTCTTTGAAGAGTTAGCAGTCCATTAGAGATGAAACAGATATGCAGGTGACAGATCAGGGTAGATTATGGTAACTCAAGAGGAGGAATAGAAAAGTGCCATGGCGATGTTTCACAGGCCAGGTGGAGTGAGCCCCCAGAGAGAAAGAAGTTAAAGAAAACAACTGAGAGGACTGAGGTAGGGGAAAGAGGTAAGATCGAAAGTGCAGAATAGAGGGTTAACTTTGAAAATAGACAAAGATACACCCTCTTTTAATACTGAGGAGAAGAAGGTAAAATCAGACAGTGACAGAATATTGAGGTGGAAGGGAGATGGAAAATGAGGATAATTTACATTAGGTTTCTCCATTTTTTTCATTTTTCATCTGAGGATGAAAAATTTTCATTTTCATCTGAGAGGAAGACAGGGATAATAGTTTTTTTAATAACAGTACTATAACAATAATAGGATAACAGTAATAATAGTGGCAGCATTTACCATTGGTTGAATTCTTACTATATGGGCATGACTAGCTGCTTTATTGTGTATACTTTATATCATAATTGATAAAAGTAAGTAGTATTATGCCTGTTTTACAGATAAGGGAAATAAATTCAAAACTATTTAGTAATTTTTGATTGCAAAGATCTTGAACCTTTTATTATCTCATATCGCCTCAAAGATTTTGAATGAGATGGATTTGAGGTTTTGAGTAGAGTTAGTGAGTTTTGACATAGTTACCTTTAAGGGATTGATCAAAATAAATAAAATATTAATAAGCTTCTTGAGGTCAGATTAAAGAGAGTAGATACATGGCTCGTAGCCTAGCTCAAGAAGTCCAAGATCAGAAGTGAAGAAAATGGAAGATTGTATTATTTTTCCAAATAATATCCTTTCAATAAAGTATCCATCTAGATAAGAGGGAGTAGTAACGATATTTCTTATGACACAGCTTTCTGTACAAGGATGCTGGAAAAGATGCTTCCCCTAGGGGAAACAATAACTCTACTTCTTTCTCCAAGCCTTTGGTAACCTCTAATCTGTTTTCTGTCTCTGAATTTGCCTATTCTAGATACTTTACTTAAGTGGAATTATGCAGTGCATTCTTTTGTGTCTGATTTGTTTCACCTAGCATATTTTCAAGCTCATCTGTGTTGTCCAACATATAGCTGTATGTCTGCGTCACAGTTTGCTTACCCACTCATCTGTTTATGGACACTTGGGTCGTCTCCACTGTGACTTGGGCACCAGTGCGCATAGTTCTTTGGAGTGTATAACCAATCGTGACGTTGCTGGCTAA